ATCTGCCCGACCAGCCTCTCTCCCCTCCCTCCTATGTCCCATCAGCCTCTGTCCCCTCCATCCTCTATCCCATTATCCTCTGTCCCCTCCCTCCTTATCCCAACGGACTCTGTCCTCTCTCTCCTTCTCTGTCCCATCAGCCTCTGTCCCCTTCCTCCTCTGTCCCATGATCCTGTCTCCTCCCTCCTCTGTCCCATCAGCCTCTATCCGTTTCCTCTGTCCCATCAGCCTCTGTCTCCTCCCTTCTCTGTCCCTTCATCCTCTGACCCCTTCCTCCTCCTACGTCCCATCAGTCCCTGTCCCCTCCCTCCTCTGTCCCTTCAGCCTCTGTCCCATCAGCCTCTGTCCCCTCCCTCCTCTGTCCCATTAGCTCCGTCCACTCCCTCCTCCTCTTTCCCATCAGCCTATGTCCCCTCCCTTCTCTATCCCATCAGACTCTGTTCCCTCTCTCCTCTATCCCATCATCCTCTGTGCCCTCCCTCCCCCTTGTCCCAACAGCCTCTGTCTTCTCTCTCCTCCTCTGTCCCTTCACCCTCTGTCCCCTTCCTCCTCTGTCCCGTGAGCCTCTGTCCCCTCTCTCCTCTGTCCATTCTGCCTCTGTCTCCTCCCTCCTCTGTCCCATCAGCCTCTATCCCAGGGGTGGGCAAACTTTTTGACTAGAGGGCCACAAAGGGTTCTTAAACCGGACTGCAGGGTCCAAACAAAAGCATGCATCCAGTGTTTGTGAACTAATATAAATTGAAAGTAAACATCATTAGATAAAGGGTATGTTTTTTTCCCAATAGTTTTATTCATTTCAAATGGGCCAGATCCGGCCCGCGGGCCGTAGTTTGCCCATGGCTGCTCTATCCCATTCTTCCTCCTCTATCTCATCGGCCTCTATTCCCTCCCTCCTCCTTCCCATCAGCCTATGTGCCCTCCTTCCTCTGTCCCCTCCCTCCTCTATTACCTGCCTGCTTTGTCCCATCAGCCTCTGTTACCTTCTTCCTCTATCCCATCAGACTCTGTCCCTTCAGCGTCTGTGCCCTCTCACCTCTGTCCCATCAGCATTTTCCCATCACTCTCAGTTTCATCAGCGTCTGTACACACCTTTGAATATCCCATCAGCCTCTTTCTTGTCCATCCTAAGTCCAATCAGCCTCTGTCCCTTCAGCCTCTGTCCCCTCCCTCCTCTGTACCTTCCCTCCTCTGTTACCTCCCCGCTCTGTCCCTTCCTTCTTCTATCCCATAAGCCTCTGTCCCCTCCCTCCTCTGTCCCATCAGCCTCTGCCACCTTCTCCTACTCTGTCCCTCCAGTCTCTGTCCATTCAGCTCTATCTTCTCCCTCCTCTGTCCCATCAGCCTCTGTCTCTCTCCCTCCTCTGTCCCATCCCCTCTGTACCCTCCCTCCTCCGTCCCATCAACCTCTGTCCTCTCTCTCCTCCTCTCTCCCATCAGCCTCTGTCCCCTCTCTCCTCTGTCCCATCAGCCTCTATCTCCTCCCTCCTCTGTCCCTTCCCTCCTCTGTTACCTCCCCGCTCTGTCCCTTCCTTCTTCTATCCCATAAGCCTCTGTCCCCTCCCTCCTCGGTCCCATCAGCCTCCGTCCACTCCCTCCTCCTCTTTCCCATCAGCCTATGTCCCCTCTCTCCACCTCTGTCCCATCAGCCGCTGTCTTTACCCTCCTATGTCCCATCAGCCTCTGTCTCTCTCCCTCCTCTGTCCCATCCCCTCTGTACCCTCCCTCCTCCGTCCCATCAACCTCTGTCCTCTCTCTCCTCCTCTCTCCCATCAGCCTCTGTCCCCTCTCTCCTCTGTCCCATCAGCCTCTATCTCCTCCCTCCTCTGTCCCTTCCCTCCTCTGTTACCTCCCCGCTCTGTCCCTTCCTTCTTCTATCCCATAAGCCTCTGTCCCCTCCCTCCTCGGTCCCATCAGCCTCCGTCCACTCCCTCCTCCTCTTTCCCATCAGCCTATGTCCCCTCTCTCCACCTCTGTCCCATCAGCCGCTGTCTTTACCCTCCTATGTCCCATCAGCCTCTGTCTCTCTCCCTCCTCTGTCCCATCCCCTCTGTACCCTCCCTCCTCCGTCCCATCAACCTCTGTCCTCTCTCTCCTCCTCTCTCCCATCAGCCTCTGTCCCCTCTCTCCTCTGTCCCATCAGCCTCTATCTCCTCCCTCCTCTGTCCCTTCCCTCCTCTGTTACCTCCCCGCTCTGTCCCTTCCTTCTTCTATCCCATAAGCCTCTGTCCCCTCCCTCCTCGGTCCCATCAGCCTCCGTCCACTCCCTCCTCCTCTTTCCCATCAGCCTATGTCCCCTCTCTCCACCTCTGTCCCATCAGCCGCTGTCTTTACCCTCCTATGTCCCATCAGCCTCTGTCTCTCTCCCTCCTCTGTCCCATCCCCTCTGTACCCTCCCTCCTCCGTCCCATCAACCTCTGTCCTCTCTCTCCTCCTCTCTCCCATCAGCCTCTGTCCCCTCTCTCCTCTGTCCCATCAGCCTCTATCTCCTCCCTCCTCTGTCCCTTCAGCCTCTGTCCCCTCCCTCCTCTCTCCCATCATCTTCTGTCCCTCCCACCTCCTCTGTCCATCAGCCGCAATCCTCTTCTATCCCATCAGAGTCTGTCCCCTCCCTCTTCTGTCCCAGCAGCCTCTGCCCCCTTCTCCTCCTCTTTCCCAACAGCCTCTCTCCTCTCTCTCCACCTCTGTCCCATCAGCCTCTGTCTTTACCCTCCTCTGTCCCATCAGCCTCTGTCTCCTCCCTTGTCCTCTGCCCAACAGCTTCTTTGTCCTCCTTTCTCTGTCCCATCAGCCACTGTCCTCTTATTCCTTCTCTATCTCTTCAGCGTCTGTCTTCACCCTCCTCTGTCCCATCAGCCTCTGTCTCCTCCCTCCTCTGTCCCTTCAGCCTCTTTCCATTCAGCTCTGTCTCCTCCCTCCTCTGTCCCTTCAGCCTCTTTCCATTCAGCTCTGTCTCCTCCCTCCTCTGTCCCTTCAGCCTCTTTCCATTCAGCTCTGTCTCCTCCCTCCTCTGTCCCTTCAGCCTCTTTCCATTCAGCTCTGTCTCCTCCCTCCTCTGTCCCTTCAGCCTCTTTCCATTCAGCTCTGTCTCCTCCCTCCTCTGTCCCTTCAGCCTCTTTCCATTCAGCTCTGTCTCCTCCCTCCTCTGTCCCATCAGCCTCTTTCTCCTCCCTCCTCTGTCCCTTCATGCTCTGCCCCCTCCCTCCTCCTATGTCCCATCAGTCTCTGTCCCCTCCCTCCTCGTCATCTGTCCCAACAACTCCTGTGTCCTCCTTCCTCCATCCCTTCAGCCTCTGTCCCCTTCCCTCCTCTGTCCCGTCAGCCTCTGTCCATTCAGCTCTGTCTCCTCCCTCCTCTGTCCCTTCAACCTCTGTCCACTCCCTCCTCCTCGTTTCCATCAGCCTATGTCCCCTCTCTCCCCCTCTGTCCCATCAGCCTCTGCCCCTCCCTTCTCTGCCCCCTCCCTCCTCTGTCGCCTCCCTCCTCTGTCCCTTCAACCTCTGTCCACTCCCTCCTCCTCGTTTCCATCAGCCTATGTCCCCTCTCTCCCCCTCTGTCCCATCAGCCTCTGCCCCTCCCTTCTCTGCCCCCTCCCTCCTCTGTCGCCTCCCTCCTCTGTCCCATCAGCCTCTGCCCCTCCCTTCTCTGCCCCCTCCCTCCTCTGTCGCCTCCCTCCTCTGTCCCATCAACCTCTGTCCACTCCCTCCTCCTCTTTTCCATCAGCCTATGTCCCCTCTCTCCACCTCTGTCCCATCAGCCTCTGTCTCCTCCCTCCTCTGTCCCAACAGCCTTGGTCCTTCCCTCCTCTGTCCCATCAGCCTCAGTCCCCTCCCTCCTCTGTCTCATCAGCCTCTGTCCCCTCCTTTGTCCTCTGTCCCAACAGCTTCTTTGTCCTCCTTCCTCCATCCCATCAGCCTCTGTCCCCTCTCCTCCTCTGTCCAGTCAGCCTCTGTCCATTCAGCTCTGTCTCCTCCCACCTCTGTCTTATCAGCCTCTGTCTCCTCCCTCCTCTGTCCCTTCATCCTCTGTCCATTTATCTCTGTCTCCTCCCTCTTCTGTCCCTTCATCCTCTGTCCCCTTTCTCCTCCTCTATCCCATCAACCTCTGTCCTATCATCCTCTGTCCCCTCCCTCCTTCTCTGTTTCATCAGCCTCTGTCTCTTCCCTCCTGTGTCCCATAGGCCGCTGTCCCCTCCCTCCTCTGTCCCCTCCCACGTCTATTTCCTCCCTACTCTGTAGCTCAGCCTCTGTCCCCTCCCTCCTCTGTCCCATCAGCCTCTGTCCCCTGCCTCCTCTGTCCCATCTGCCTCTACCCCCTCCCACTTCTGTCCCATCACCCTCTGTCCCCTCTGTCCTCTATCCCATCAGCCTCTGTCTCCTGTCTCTTCTGTCCCATCAGCGTCTGTCCCCTCCCTCCTCTTTCCTTCAGCGTCTGTCCCACTGGACTCTGTCCCATCGGTCTCTGTCCCTGCAGGCCAGGCACCCTCGCCATGCCAGTTCATCAGACTGGGCCCTTGTTCCAGGAGCAGGCACTCAGCTCCCTGCCCCCCTTCCCTTTGCAAGCAGTGACCGTCCTTGGTCACCGCCTGTGGACCACCTCCTCATTAACTGTGGCTTCTCCCTATGTGGGTGAGGGCGGGAAGGGGCGTTCTGCACTGAGCTGCACACTCAGGAGCAGCGTGTCCTGATGCAGTAGGAGACTGACTGCTGACAGGAGGCGACAGGAGGCGAGAGCGACCCCCGGTGTCCAGGACCGCTTCCTGGGCATCAGCATCTGTTTCCCCTGACCCCTCTTCCCGCTGCCCCTGGGCTTTAGGAAGCAGGACTCTTGGCGTCGCCAGCCTTCCTCACTGGGGTCTGAACCCCAGCGAGGCTGAGGTCGGACCCCACCTCAAACCTAAAGGAGAATCGGGACACAGGGCTCTGCTGTGCCCACGCTGTGGGTTCTGTGCCAGCGGGCACTGTCTCCTCTCAGACTCACGGTGAGCTCGGAGCCGCTCCTCGGTGCCCAGCCAGCCAGCGAGTTCCCACCTGCTTTACTGATGTCCCCTTATCGACCGAGCCGGTGCGTGAACCAGCGACAAATAAGTGAGAAACACGAGAACATCTCTGCCTGGGTGTGGAGCAGGTAAGCAGGAGGGTCATCTGCATCATTATAAGTTCTGGAAGCTTGCTTAAGACCCCACCGTGAAAATGTAGGGGAAGGATGGGGAAGCCCAAAGAGAGAGGCTCACAGACGAATAGGAGCCTACGTGCTGCCTCAGCCTCCCCCCGTCCCCGGCAGTGTTCTATGCTTAATGAGACGAGTCCATTAAAGCAGTGACGCCTAGAAACCAGGCACACGGGCAGGGGCGGAGCCGTCTGAAGGCTGGCTGCTCAGGTGTCCCAGGGCGGATGCTGCTATTGGTTGAGACCGGAGCCATGTCGGCGCAGCACCTACAGGTGCCTCTCCATATGGCCTGGCCTTCCCCACAAGTCGGGGTTCTTAAGGGGGAGTGTCCCCAACAAGAAAGAGCCAGGGGGGAGTCACACCACCTTTATGGCGTCAGAAGTGACAGGGCGTCACCTCTACCGCGTTCTGGTGGCTCAGGCTACTTTGGAGACTGCCCCAGTGGAAGGCAGAGGACAGGGGCCTCATCTGCTAGTGGTGAGGACTGTGTCCCTTAGTGTCAATTTCTGGGAGAGCATGGGAAACAGAAACACTACCAGGGCCAACTTAGGAAAGTGCAGTCTACCACACTCTGCAAGTGTCGAGCTCTGCCAAGTCACTTATACTAAAGTGTAAATGACTCCCCGGAAGAAGAGACCATGATAACCGGAAATGATATCAAAGGTTCTTATGGGTTCAGCCGTGGAAGGCGCCTCTGATGTTGTTTGTCTACCTGGGCAGCTGAGTCCCTTCGGACCTTCCCAACTTAGTCCGCCCGGGGAGTTGACTCACGCACCAAGCGAGGCATTGCAGCCACAGGCCGACTTTCACCAGGGCCCGGGGAGAAAGAGCAAAGTGTATCTGGCCCACCCATGAGACCTGGGGTAGATGCCGAAGTCCTCCTGGGGCCTCCCGCTGTGGGCGACGGCCGCCTGGGCAGCAACAAGGACCCCAGAAGCACCTTGTCTTCTTCCGGAGGCAGCCGGCAGCTGTGCGGTCCCCGAGCGGCTCCCGGCACTGCATTCCTGATAGGCCGCCAGGAGCAGGCCCAGCGCTGAGCCACCGACGACAGGGGAGGTGACTCAGTGTAGAACACCAGATGAGAAGGCAGGAAGGATTCTGCATCTTGTCAGCCCAGTGTCGTGCGTGCGTCCTTGACCTCTGGCCATTCAGGGACCAGAGATGCTGCCACTGTGTCTCCGCCCCTCCCTGCCCTGAGCCGGACCCAGCAGAGCAGTGTGACCATGTGGTGTGGTCGACCTGCGAGGATTCGGCCTGTCCTCTCCAGAGAAATGGGGCACACCACTACAGGGGGCCCAGCTCCCGACGCCCCCACAGCCTCCCGATTCCCTCCCAGTCGTGTCTGTGCGTCCCTGACCCGCTGGGGTTTCTCTGCAGCAGACTTCGGTCTGTGCATGGCCCATGTTCCGGAACCCCTGGGCATGGCCCTCAGGGAGACGTCAAGCAACTTCGACCCCAGCCTCCTGGGGCCTCCTGACTCGCCCTTATCCAGATGCACCCCAAAGCCACCCACAGGGCATTGGCAGAAGAGGGGCGTGCACTCCCCTGACCCCAACCAATCCTGCTGGCTCTGCGTGGAGGGGGCTGGAGCACTGCTACCCAAAGTACCGTCCCCACGGCTTCCCTGGGAACCTTCCAGGCAGTGCAGGGAATGCGGTCCCTCCTCTCGGCTGGGCTGCCTTATCCCACGGGATTTTACACCGCCCGGACAAGCCCTGCCATTGCTTGGCAGGAGTGAGTGACCCGGCTGTGGACCAGGCTTCTTCAAGACGCGGGACAGGAATGAGGAGGTATGCCCAGACCCGACTGTGCGCCTAAGTACATGGATCACAGTTCAAGGGAGAGGTGGTCACCCAGTGAATGTCCCAGCTGTGTCTCTCTTGTGTGACTGACATGGTCCCTGGACAGGATGAGCAGGTGGCGGGAGACATATGGCCCAGTTTCCCCGCCTGGGACTTGCTTGGAGAGGCAGGTTATTGCGCAACTCACTGAGCCGTTCGCGCACTGCGCCCTCTGCCTCGCTAAGCGGGGGTCCGGAGCACAGGCTTGCAGAACACACACGTTTGTAATTAGTGCAAAAAATTTCAAGATGCCGTCGGCCTGTTAGCTCCCTTTAGGTCTGAGGGCACGTCTAGACACGGGACACACACGGACGGTGGGAATGAGAAGCGAGCGAGCCCTCCCCGCCTGCTCTCCTCTGACCGAAGGCTCAGGGCCTGTCTGACAGGAAGGTGCCGCACAGTGCGTGGTCCCTGCGGGGCTGGTAGGCTCTGTTCTGTCAGCTGGGGCCTCCCTGGGCCTGGGCTGGCCGGAGGCGTGAGAGCCACAGCCAGACCCCCACACTGGCTTTGCAGACTCCGCTCCCTCCTCCCTCTGCCCTTGATCCTGCCCTTGACTCTGCTTTCGTGATTTCTGGCTCCTGACGGCTCCCTCCCCACAGCCTGGCAGCACAGCAGTGATTGAGCAGAACCTCCGAGGGTGTCTGTCCTTCCCACACAGTCTGCTGGAGCCTCTTCCCACCACCCAGTCCCCAGACCAGGAGGTCTGTGCAGCGTTACTCCATCGCCTCCTCCCAGACACGCCTGGGGGTCCTGGAGGCGCTGGACATCACAGGCCCAGAGGAGCCGCCTGCATCCTCTTCTTCTTTGACCTCAGCAGACCCTCGGCTTTATGGGAAGCCCGACTCAGAGGAGCCTGGAGGTTACTCGTTGGAGGTGGCCCCTCAGGGGACAGAGGGGGACCCATCAGGAGCTCCGGGAGGCAGCGGAAGCGGCTGGAAATTCATTTTTACGGAGCAGCTGTGCCCACGCCTGGGGTGGTGGGGGGAAGTCGTCACACTGAGGTTCCCGCGGTGGACAGGACTCTACTGAGCAGGGACAGAGTCACCTTGGCCAACTGCAAGCCCGTGCTATGTTGGGTCGGGGCCCCCGCAGGCTGCCAGCAGGCCCGGAGGCCTCGCACAGCGCAGGGAGGAAGTATTCTGATGGTGATGGAATGAGGGGTCTAACTCCTGGATTTGCGGCTACCGGTCCCACAGCACATCAGGGGCCCCACTGAGAAGTCTCTGCAACGAGAGACGTTCTCACAGTGGCCGTGACGGAGGACACACCGCACCATCGGTCAGCGTCCCCAGGCCCAGGAGTCTGCCCCTGGCCCCGGAGAGAGAACAGCAGCAGGGCCTCCCCAACATGGCCCGGAGCCTCAGCCCCCCGAGACTGTCTGGTCCCCGTGAGGTCATGGCCCACCGAGCTGCCAGGCCTCCGCCCAGCTTCCTGCTCCCAGTCTGCTCCCCCTGCGGCTCTGTTCCAGGCTGTTCTCAGCTGTGGTCCCTGCACCCGCCTTGCTCTCTCAGCATGAGCTCAGGCCCCTCAGTTGCCATTCTGTCACCACAGGCTCATGGAGCGGGTTCACCACAATAAACGCCCAATGTCAACCCCTGCAATTGCTGCTGACGGGTCCCGGCCCCAGCTGCCTGCAGTGTGTGGGTTCTTGACTTCATGCAGGAAAGATCTGACAAGGCGAGTCCAGGGGATTTGTGTTTATGAAAGCTGGGGACAGGAAACCAGAAAGAGCTTAGGGTAGAAGAAACAACAGGGCAAGTCAGAGAGCAAGGGGGCCCGGGCGGCAGGTTCAGGGCTGAGCCTGGAACAGACTGCCACTGCCCGCTGCTCCCCTGGGTGCCAGTCTCTTTAGGAGAAAAGCTTTAGCGTGACAGGGTGTGATGTGCTCAGTGAGAGGCACCGGGCCCTTTGTCTTGGGGCTTTTATCTTCCTTTGGCTGGTGGACTCCTGAGGAACGGCTCAGGGAGGGTCTCAGCAGGGTGTCCGTTAGCTTTCCAGTCGAGTCCTTCAGGGAGTTGATGCATCAGGATGTGCATAGCGAGAGGCCAGGGCTCCTCTCTGGTGGTTTTGGTTTTAGAGAACGTCACTGAAGGGGGCCTGGACCGGCCAGGTCTGCCCCCGAACAGTCTGGAGTGTGTAAACCCATTCGCTCCCAAGTGTGCTTGCTGGGGGAAGACAGACACTGGGATTTACTAGCCGGCTGTGAACTGCTCAAACGGTTTGACCTTGTTTAATTATTTTGCCTCCATTTTTTTATTCACTTGTTAATGAATTTCCCTGCCTTCTGACTGTCCTGCCACAGAATGGGCCTCCTGTGATGTGCTTGTGGGATGATACTGACCATTATCTCAGACAAGAGCCTGGAGGGAGCTAGCTCCACCGTGCACAGACTGTGACAAGAAAGGGTCCCGAGACCAGGGCTGGTGGTGCCAGAGGAGCCCCGGCCCCAGGCTCTGACCTGCTGCTTGGGACATGTCTGTTCTCAGCTTAAATACACACAGTAGAACTTTTTCCTGGAATAGATATCAGTCCTACAAAACTCATCCGTGGTTAACACTCTAGTAGCCAAGATGCTGGGAGAGGGTGGGATACGGGCATTTCTGGTGGAAATCTCAGACTCACAGTGTCCGTTTCAGTTCTGGTGAAAATGGGACCATCTTATTGTCTGCTGCACAGATGAAGTTGTGTCCTTCCTTCCAAGGCAAGGGGCACACTAGCACAGCTGTCCACGAGAGAGTGAGTGTGTACGGACGAATAAGGGTATACACAGTATAAACACAGTGTACACACAGAACATACACAATATGCACAGACTGTACATACAGGATACACAGGATGCACACAATATATATAGTGTATACATACACACAGGACACAGTATACACACAGGACACACACACTATACACACAGGATATGCACAGTATGCACACAGTATACACAAAGTATACATACAGTATACACATGGTATACACATGGCATACACACAATATACACAGGATATGCACAGTATACAGAGTATACATACAGTATACACACAGAATACACATGGTATACACAGGATATACACAGTGTACATAGAGGATACATTCAGTATACACGCAGGATATACACAATATACACAGAGAATACATACAGGATACATACAGGATGCATACGGTATACACTCAGGATATGCACAGTACACACACAGTATACACACAGGATACACATGATATACATACAGTGTACACAGAATCTCCACACACTATACACATGATATCCACACGGTGTGCACGCAGTGGGCGTGTGATATCCACACGGTGTGCACGCAGTGGGCGTGAACCCTGGTGTCCCCTGGGAGCTGGGCTGGGTTTCCCGGGCTCATCCTCCAGCACAGCTGGCTCGTTCCCTTGAGTTGCCTGTCTGTGCCCTGCTTCAGCGTGAACGGATTTCCTCTGGTTCTGTTCAGACCAACCCTCCTCAGCACAATGGTAATCCAATTCAAAAAGCACTTGTTAAGTTCACGGTGCTCAAACCTGTGTCCCGTGTCAGGGGATCAGCTTCGGCTCAGGTGGGCCCTGATTGGCCAGGTTAGTGGTGAGAGCGTGGCATCATCACCGGGTACTTCTGAGCCCTCTTGGATGGAAGGAAAATGCAGGACCCAGGGAGGCCTCTCAGAGGCCGTAGAAGCGCAGTGTCTGGGGCCTCACATCTGGCAGCTCATGGCCGTACCTGCTCACCGTGGACCCTGCTCTGCGTGCTGACTGTTCGCATCTCTCTGTTTTCCCTTAGAGGAGATTTTAAAGACCCACATCGCCCACTGGTGGTCTCCGGATGGTACGAGGCTCGCCTACGCCACCATCAATGACTCCCGCGTGCCCGTCATGGAGCTCCCGGCCTATACGGGCGCCATGTACCCCACAGGGAAGCTCTACCACTACCCCAAGGTAGGTGAGATGCCACAGGAACACACTGTCCTGCCCCTCAGCCCCCCAGCCAGCCATCCCCAAAGTGGGGCTGGGACCTTCAGACCCGTTAGGAGCAATACAGTCAACAGAGGCAAGATGAATTACTTCCCCTTACATGGCATTCTCTCCCCATTAGTTGAGTTCAATTTGTTGGCAAATTTACCTTATCCTATCTATTAATAGAGAAACATGGTAATTAGCCATACCTCTGCTACCCTTCCCATTGGCTAATCAGCAGGATATGCAAATTAACTGCCAACCAAGATGGCGGCCGGCAGCCAGGCAGCTTGAAGCAAACAGGAGGCTTGCTTGCTTCAGTGACGGAGGAAGCTAAGGTTCCCCACCTGTCTTGCCGGCCTCTGAGCTTGCAGTTTAAGAAACATTGTTACAAATATAGAAGCTAAACAAAATCCCAACA